AAAGTCCAGATGAAAGAAATATTAGTTGTGCTGCCACGATCAAAAACTCTGTTTATAGATATTGGAGATCGGCCTGTTTTTCAGTGTAGTCCCGTTTCTCTGACTGTGACTGGCTGGATGTGCTCTCTTCCTCCTCTGACATGGAGGCTGGCTCGGAGCTTGTCTGCCTGGCTGTGTGTTTCCTGGACGGGGCCGCCTTTTACAGCTGCTCTGCTTATTTCTGTATGTCTGCTTCTTTCTCCTTGAACCCCAGTCGGCCTCGGCAGATGGCCGCTCACACTGAGCCTGATTCTGCCGGAGGTTTCTTCCTGTTCAAAGGGATTTTCCCTCTCCACTGTCACTACAAGCATGCTTAGTGTGAAGGATTGCCTTCGAGTCAATGAGTCGATGCAATCAACTGGTTTTCCTTTGATAGAAAACTTGGAATCAGTTTGACTGTATAATCTGGTGAACTGTAAAGTGCCTTGAGATGCCATGTGTTGTGAATTGGCACTATAGAAATTAAAGGAATTTAATTGAATTGAAACCCAGTTGAGAATCTGTGGCAAGATCTGAAAAGTGCTTTCCAAAAACGCTGTCATCTAGTCTGACAAAGCGTTGGCTGTTTTGCACAGAAGATTGGCCAAAGGTTTCAGTGCAGCACTAGCAGAGATGAACCCTAAAACTGCGGCAAACAGTTATTCAACAAAGTAATGATTCAGGGGGACGGAAAACTTTAGTGCTTTTAATGAAATATAGTTATGCTTGTGGTTGTCATATGACAACATTTGGAAATGTTCAAGTGGTATGAATACTTTACCAAGCCGCTGCAAATCCCAACCAATCTCTCTATGAAGAAGATTTTTTTTAATCAGTTCAATGATTTTATTACACAATCTGTAGAAAAGTTGTTGAAACGTCCTGCCCTCTGGGTCAAACTCTTCAAGTCAGGTTGCAAACAATAGTATGAATTAAAGGTGAATAACTGAACATGCAATGTTTAAATAAAACCAAGAAAGTAATTGTACCTTTTTAGGAAACAGGTCCTTAAATGAGCTTAAACTGAGTGTCTGCACTAGATTTTAGCTGCTGGAGTGTTCCGAACTTTGCATGGAAGAAGCTTGCCTTCTCCAGCTTCCTCCCACAGTTCAAAGATTTGACTTTTTTGGTTAAGTGGTCTTTAAATATCTGCATGACTGTGTCCCTTGTTGTTCATTCTGTATGTCTCTGGGTTGTCCTGTGATGGACTGACAGCCGGTCAATGGTTAACCCCTCCTCTAGCTCAAGAGATAAGAACCAGTCACCCGGAGACCTTGCAGGTTAGGCAGGTTCATTTTAAGGGTGGAGGGGTCTCTTTAGGCAAAGCTCTGTTGGAGCGCAATAATCTTTCATTTTTTGGACAGTTTCCATGATCAGAACCACCCCAACCTCATCACTGTTCTGGTATTTTTAGATCTGGAACATGAGTTCAGGTTGTCATTATGTTGCCAAACAGCTTTTACTACATCCAGAAGCAACATTCGGCACTTCAAAAGTACAGTTTTACAAATTTGATTATTTAATTGTCAATTTGTAAAAAAAAAATAAAAATAAAAAAAATGCTGAGTTTCAGCACCATGGACAGCAGGGCCTACCTGAGCTCAGTGAATTAGGGAACCACCTGAAGCACTTATCTCTATTTATTCACTTGATTGCTGATTGCCCATTGGTAGTACAGGGTTGAAGTGACGCCATTGGCTGCCATATTGGTACTCCCTTGTCAGACCAGTCACAATGTAAACAACATGTGCGCTACAGCATCGAACAACGATGATGTTCTCATTTTAAGGGGGAGATAAGACTTTTAAAATAAGGATAGATTCATCACTTTGAGACACACTTGCTGTTTCATAGCATAAGTAGATTACTTTAAGTTGTAATAAAAAAATAGACATGTCACATTGCATAGTCATTATGAAGTAAATGAAGTCTCTAAATCATGTAATACAACATGTTATACAAATCCTTTACAATAAAATGAATGTGTTAATAGAGCATAATAATACAGAAGTGAAAAGGTGCTACATTGATGATGTAGATGTAATATACATGTATTAATTACATTGCTATGGTAATTACATCTTTCATGTCTGGTAATGCATGCAATATATTGCATATATATATATATATATATATATTTATATGTATATAGTTTTAAAATGTTTGAGTTGCTTTTTTTTGGGTCAATATAACATATATTTCAGCACATGACTTTTTCAAATGAGAAATACAACAAATACTACAAAAACGACAGCGTCATCTGCTTAATAAAGAATTACTACATTGACATTGCACAGTGAATAACTTTCTATTTACTTTACTTTCTATTTTCTTGCGTTAGTCACAATGGCTAATTTAGTCAATATCTTGGAGTCAGTCCAAGATAGCCAGACTTGTTATGCTACATACTATAGTACAGAATACATTGGCGTATATGTGGATTTTCTTGGTTAGTACATCCACTGACTGCAAAATTACCTGTGAAACATCTTCCCTGGCCAGTACCAGCAAGGTAGATGGTGGCTTTACTTTTTTTATTCCATTGAATAAATAGAGATCAGTGACTTTAAAAGCGCCTCCAATGTTCACCCAGAGTCATTCAGACTGAATTCTTCTGTGGGCTGGAAATGGCCCCCAGGGGCCACATCTTAGACCTTAAGAGACATTTGCAGAATGTTTAATTATCTGAATAAATAAAAGCAAGGAATTTGGAAAACAGTAGAAAAGAAGCAAAGGGGGCAGAAATTTTTAATGGATAAAATTGAAATTAGGAAAAACATCTCTTGACGTTTCACTTTCTTCATATGTGGTATTTAAAGCGTTTCCTACAGTTTAGTTTTTCTGCATCTGGAGGACTTTCCTTTCTTTGTTTTTTTTTGCTGTAGTATGTAGTATGTTTTTATTGCTGAAGTTTTTATTGTTTTATTTGTTTTTTCTATCACTGTTGACCTTTTACTAATTAAACAAACTTATTGACAGATATTGGGCCGAATGATGCTGAAGACTGATTAAAAAAAAAAATATATATATATATATATTAACTGTTTAGATAATCTCAAATGAGAAACCAATAAGTCAATTTTAATGGTTTTATACTTAGTTTTAGACCAGTTTAATATAGTTTCGGATTTTGTTTTAGACCAGTTTTAATGTGGTTTCAGACTGGTTTTATATATAGTATCAGATTATGCTTTAGACCAGTTTAATATGGTTTCAGAGTTTGTTCTTAACCTGGCTTTAACATGATTTTATATTTTTGTTCAATCCAGTTTTAATTTTGTTTCAGAGTTTTGTTTCTGACCAGTTTAAGACTTGATTTTATACTTGTTTTTAGAATGTATGGATTCAGCTTTGCTCTTTAAAAGCACCTCCAATGTTCACCCAGAGTCATTCAGACTGAATCTTTCTGTGGGCTGGAAATGGCCCCCAGGGGCCACATCTTAGACCTTAAGAGACATTTGCAGAATGTTTAATTATCTGAATAAATAAAAGCAAGAAATTTGGAAAACAGTAGAAAAGAAGCAAAGGGGGCAAAAATATTAAATGGATAAAATTGAAATTAGGAAAAAAACATCTCTTGACGTTTTACTTTCTTCATTTGTGGTATTTAAAGTGTTTCCTACAGTTTAGTTTTTCTGCATCTGGAGGACTTTCCCTTCTTTGTTTTTACTGTTTTATTGCTAAAGTTTTTATCGTCTTGTTTGGTTTTCTATCACTGTTGACCTTTCACTAATCAAACAAACTTATTGACAGATATTGGACCGACTGATGCTGAAGACCCTGATCTAAAAAAATCAATTAACTGTTTAGATAATCTCAAAGAGGAAACCAGCAAATCAATAATGTGATGGATGGATGGATGGATGGATGGATGGATGGATGGATGGGTGGATGGGTGATGGATGGGTGGATGGGTGATGGATGAGGTTTGTTCCCCTCCCCTCTCTCCGCCTCCACAGCGCCCTCCAGCGGCCACCAGAAACTTTCTGGTACTTCCTGTTTGTCCTCCTCGGTCCTCCGGTCTCCGTCGGTCTCTGACGTTCTTTGTTCTCCGGGGACACCCTGTCCTCTGGCTCCGGTCCACCGGAGCCTTGTTGACTCTGTGAAGCCGACATGGAGCGCAGGAGCCGGTGCTGATCCGGTTCCGTCCCGATGGATTTTACTTGACGGTCCGGAACTGTGTCTGTGGGGCCAAGGCTCGCTCTGCGGGGAACTGGGTCAAGGGGACCCAGTTCGGTCACTTCAACTTGAGGCTGGACTTAAAGCGGGTCGGTTCTGTTCTGCTGAGCTCCTTGCGTTCACTCCCGAGGTTGTTAGATAACAACCGGACCTGTTCATTGAGTTTTAATGTCGTCCGGTACCGGAGAACCGGAGTCCAACTCGACCCAGTTTGTAATCTTATGTTTGGACTGAGGTTTGCTGGTAAGTTCTGCTGCAGGTGGATCCAGTCAGTGTTGTAGGCTGGCTTTGCTGCTTTTAGAACCAGGTCTGATTCAGACCGGTTCACTGAGGTCAGTTTAAGTCCATTCCAGTTCATTGGTGACCAGTAGAGGTCCAACTTCCTGGACCTAAGATTAACTGGTCCTAGATTTTCAAAACCTCTGGTCCTGGTTCTGTCCATGTCTAAATCTGGTTAAATAAGGACAATATTTGGGTTTTGTCCAGATCTTCCCTGGATCTCCTCTAAACAGGGTTTGGTCCTGGTCCAAATTTGGTTAATCCCAGGTTTAAACCTGGGATTAATCTAGTTTTAAACTGGGTTCAGTTCTGCTTCCCCTCAATATGGCAGAGCACAACCAGACCTCCCCTACACTATGCTGCTGCCGTAAATCCCTGCCGGTCTCTGGGGGTCGGTGTGTTGGGGACCCCAGCCAGCCCTCGGCCGGTCCGAGGCCCGGTGCCCCACCCTGCCCCTTGGTGGACGTGGCCTCTGCCTCAAACTTCATGTGCTTCCGACTGCGTCACTTTCACCTGGACCTGCGGTTGAACTTCGCAGCGAAGGAGATGAGCGGATGGCTGGTTCTGGACCTTGTTCCGGTCCAGCCGGGGGTCAACACTCTCATCTTGGACTCCCACCCCTCCCTGTTGATCCACTCCATAGACTGTAAAGTTCCAGGGGATGAGCCTAAGGAACCGACTTCCCTCACATACCGGGTCGATCCGTTTACAGACTACGGGTCATCGCTCATCATCAGCCTACCTGATGGAACGGTGAAACAAGACAAACTGATCCAGGTCACAGTCCGCTACACGACCACAGAAGGCCCGGCGGTAAGAACGCCAACATCACACCTTCTTAGATTCCAGTTCGAAACAGGTGTTACCGTCTCAGTGATTCCCAGTGGGTTTCATGGTCTTAGATTGGTTTCAAACGAAGTTTAGACTTGTTCACTGAATTAGTTTCAGAATTTGTCTCAAACCAGTTTAATATGGTTTCAGCTTTTGGTTCAAAACCAGTTTCAATCTAGTTTTAGACTTGGTTTCAGATCAGTTTAATATGGTTTCAGATATGTGGTTCAAAACCAGTTTCAATCTAGTTTTAGACTTGGTTTCAGATCAGTTTAATATGGTTTCAGATATGTGGTTCA